AACGAGTACCTGACATCCTGTAGTCTCTAAAAAAAAAAAAAAACCCTGGTATGTTTTGCAATAGGTAGGACATTAGCCAACAGCTGTCATGCTCCTCCCCGGAGGTGGCTGCATTTTGGGGGCGGGCAAAGGAATCTCTGGGGCATATGCTCTGGGTTCTGAATAGTTTTTCTCCAGCCCCGTACTGGTGGGTCGCCTTGCTCGTCTGCACCCTGCAGCCGCCTCTGGGCTCCGAACACCTGCTCGGAGCAACGTGATTCAGTCCTCCCCTCTTTCTGCAGATTCAGTTGGTCCACATGGTGTTTGCGGCCGTGGTTGCGATCGCCTTCACCCTGGTGAGTAACGTCGCTCGCCCTGTCCCGACTGAGCTGGGAACCTCCTATGTGGGCTGCTGCATCGGACCCATTCCTGGGGCGGGTGGGGGCAGGGGGGAGGCAGCTCCTGGCTCGGGCACATGGGCTGAGGATCACTAGCGGCGTGGCTGACCCATCGCCCTGTCTCTGGTCTCCCCAGTTCCTAGCCTACGACACCCAGCTGCTGGTAGGGAACAAGCAGTACGCCCTCAGCCCCGAGGAATACGTCTTCGGCGCCCTGGAGATCTACGTGGACATCGTCTACATCTTCTTGTTCCTGCTGCGGTTCCTGGGCTGGAAATAGAGCCTCCAGCCGGGCTCCTGGCTGGCATGGCCCGGGGCCGAGGAGCGCTCTGGGAACACCTTGCTTCCTTCCTGCTTCTGTTCCTTTCTCCCTCCTTGCCCCGGTGTGCGTCTCCCGGCCGATGCCCTCTTGTTTCCCTCCTTCCCCGGAGACCCCAGCGTGGGATTCCCGCAGTCTGCACCTAGAGGGGTCGCGGGCGAGACTGTGCCCTGGAGAAGCCCAATAACGAGGCTTTGCCCAGCGATGAAGCCAGCGCTGGCAGATTTCTGCCTGCCCCGTTAACGGCTCCACTGCCCTCTGGGCTTGCACGCGGCCTCCGTCTTTCTTCGCTCCCCGCTGGGCCCCCAGGGATGTGTCAATGCACCGAGTTCATCCCCGTAGCAGCCCTCGGTACTCGGTGCCGGGCGAGGCACCTGCCCCCAGACCCACAAACACGGCCCCTCTGCCAGCGCTAGCTGCTAAGACCAGGGGGCACCTCGTATTCCCCAGAAATAGCTGAGAGCGGGCATTTCTGGACATCGCGCTTCACATGTTGAGCCGTGAGACAGATCCTCCACCCTAAGGAGAAGTGAATTCACTTCTCTTGTGGTAGAGAGCAGGCAGGTGGAGGCTTCTGTCTCTCACCTTAACCTAAGCCTGACCTATCCCGCCCCGGGCCTGGCGAGCAGCGTTACTCCGAAATAACTTGCTGGATGGTTTGAGTTACCTGGAGCCACCTGAGGTCAAGCTTGAGACCTGTCAGCCCCAGCTGCTGTTCGGACCCAGGTGAGATGCCCCAGGGGAGGGGAAAGGTAGGCAGAGGGGCAGCGTCTTCATCAAATCCAAACCCACTCAAAGGAGAGTAGAAAGACGGGCTCGGGCCTTGCTCTGATCCAGACCCCAGTGTGCAAGTTCCTTCTGGCCTGCAGAGCGTCCTCCAGTGAGGAGGAGCAGGGGGGGCTGCGATTATTGCATGGATCTGATTTTTAAAGGGCGGGAGGGGAAATTTTTTATACGTGGCCTAGACATCACTGTTTGCCCAGCACAGTTTTTACCCTGTGTCTGAGAGTGGGTTTTTTACAGTACAACAAAACTCTGCCAGGTTAACAATACTGCTTCGGTCTCTCGTTTGTTACGTGCCTTAAACTAGCTTATGTTAAATGTTTTTTTAATCTTCTTAGCTACAGCCTGTGGCGTGTACACAGGAGAGACCCAGGCTGGCTCTTGACAGGTTTCTGTCCTTTCTAATTCAATGTATTTTATCCTTGGTTAAGCAAAGGGCTTTTTACTGCATTGCTTTGTTGTGTATTTGACCAGTCCGGAAAGCCAAAGGGCCTTGAAATAACATTGACGGGGGGGAGGCGAACAGCACACGGGGAATTGCAAAGAAACGTGCTGTGTACAGTAACTCCTCATTTAAAGTCATCCCGGTTAACGTCGTTTCGTTGTTACATTGCTGATCAATTAGGGAACGTGCTCTTTTAAAGTTGTGTAACGCCTGCTTTGTCCAGTGCTTGCAGGAAGAGCAGCCCATTGGAGCTGGCTGGTGGGAGCTTGGAACCAGGGAGGGCCGGCAGCCCCCCATCAGCTCCCCGCTCCCCTAAGTTCCCTGTGCAGCAGTTCAGCTGTGTCCCTCCCCCCCACTGCCATGTGCTGTTCCTGCCCTCTGCCTTGGAGCTGCCCCCCGAGACTCCTGCTTGCTGTGCCGGGGAGGGGAGGGGAGGAAGAGGGGGGCTAATGTCAGGGTGTCCCCCTCCCCCCGCTCCTGCACCCCGCTTACCCCATCTTCCCTAGAGCAGGGCTCAGGACGGAGGGTGCTTGCAGCTGCTGCTGTCTCAGCAAGCTGATCTAATTAACAAGGCAGTGTACTTAAGGGAAATGCGCATGTCTCCCTCCATTTAAATAAAAAAAAAAATGAAATGGAGATATCCCATCTCCTAGAACTGGAAGGGACCCTGAAAGGTCATCGAGTCCAGCCCCCTGCCTTCACTAGCAGGACCAAGTACTGATTTTGGCCCAGATCCCTAAGTGGCCCCCTCAAGGATTGAACTCACAACCCGGGGTTTAGCAGGCTAACACTCAAACCACTGAGTTTTCCCACCCCCCATTCCTGCTGCCTTGCAGAGTGAGAGAGTTAACCCTTGAGGGCTCAGCCAATTGCTAGTTCATCATTTAGCAGTAAGAGAAATATCCCACCCTCTGACTCCTCCACGTCAACCAAGCTTCACAATCATCATCACTG